CCCCGCCCCGCCCCGCCCCGCCTATGCCTGCGGGCGGCGCGTCGCCGTGGCAGCCTCCTGAGCCCTCGGGTGCGGGCGAAGTACGGAGACGGAAATACGGAAAACCCGGGAACCCGGAGAATTTCCGAACGACGTGAGACTGGGCAGTCAGCCTTCATTCCGATGCCGGCAACAGGCGTTGGGGGCGTCTCACAGCAAAATGTTACCCAAGTACCTCCCCCCAATTCGCTGACCTTCCCTTAAAGGCCCATCACTGCTGCCAGATCTGTTTATTTATCCAGTTTGTTCATTTTCATGCTTTCTGGAGAACAGTCTTTACAGTAGACCAGCAGGCCTGTCTACTACTTTTGTTGCAGTAGTCTGCATATTTGAAATGAAATTGCTGAGATGAGAGTCTTTGGGTTTTATTTTTGCACAAATTTTTTTAGCATGTAGGCCCACGTACATGCTTTCTCTCTGGAAGGCTTTCTGGTTTGGGTTTTTGTTTTTTTAAGTAGAAAAGGAAGAAGATAAATGACAACTCAGACCTATTTCCAGTTTTATTGATACTTAATTTACATAACAGGCTCAAATCTTATAAACTGAATTCTGCATCCACACATATTTAGCCTTAATTTATAAAGCAACTTACTTAGGTAATCTTTGAGGTATAAGTACAAGTTTTAAAGAAACATCACAAAAAGATTGTTTGTCAGTGATCATTTTTGTGAATTTAACAAAAATTTCAAGTTTTTAATCCAGTCACTCTGGTTCATAGCCAGATGCTACATAAATCCTCACCAAAAGGAAACCTTCAGTGCCCCCAGGCTTAAGTGAAATTCACTCAGAGAAAACCCCATCATTTATTTACTCAAGTCAGTACTCTAGTTCTCTACAGGTATCTCAAAAATGACCTTAACAATGACATGGAGCTTTTGGTGGATGAGAAAAAAAGAAAACATTTAACTAAATGTAGTAGTTGTTCAAACAGTAAGAGAACATACACATGTTATATATACTTTCCGGAGAAAGAGCTCAAGAGACAAAACAATAAAACACTTCTTGAACTTTTCCTAACTTCGGGGAAAAAAGACTGATATCAAGTTAGTTTACCAAATCCTTATTTTCACAAACCACTTGTATAAATGCCTAAAAAAATTTCATGAAAGAGCCAAAGCTTGTGTCTGGCTTATAACTTACCAACGAAAACAAGCCACAGGCAAATGCAAACAATAAAAC